ACCCACGATTTGCGATTCCTTTATCAAGAATAACTGCACAATTAGCTTTGGACCGAGCTCATCCATCACGGCCAGGAGCGACAGTCAAGGAGGAGACTGCAGAACAATGTGGAAAGTAACTCACGTGGTAGGACAAGAATGCAACAGGACAGGGCCTGCCTCACCTTAATTAGACCCAGCCAAGACGGAGCCTGAGGTTTCTCGTCAAGGTGAGGGACTGATTGACTGGCCTGAGACTGCACTCAATTAGCCTCACTCACAGCTATAAAACCAGCATGTTTTCTGTTAGTAACTAATGTTTCAGGTTTCAAGGATTGGATACACATTGAGAGATTTATGGATATTATATTTTTCTACATTAACAATTCCCTTCATATTGTAACAAAAAAAGATGGACAACATCTGCATTTCTGATGCTGCCTGGTTCTGAACCTACTACAAAGCACAACTTTAAAAACAACTACATCTGAATTAGACTTGCCCAGTAAAAAGGAACCCCCCAGCTGTAAAGAATGGAACTGTAATGATTACGGTCGCTGTTTGAGCCTTTTATCACAGTGGTGCAGTGGTTTGCATTGCTCACTTGCAGTGCTGGGATCTTGGGTTCAGTTCTGGACATGAGGTGCTATATGTGTGGAGTTTGTGTGTTCTCCCCATGTTCATGTGGGGCTCCTCCAGATACTCTGGTTTCCTCCCACAGTCCAAAGACTTACTGAGAGGTTATCCAATACAGATAGGTGCATCAAATACATTGCCAACAATAAAGCTTGTGGTTTGAGACTCAGGCCACATGAGTGTATATGTGTCTCTTTCTTTTCTGGGAAAAACTTCTGGGAAAAACTGGCCCTGGCATACTCTGCCTTCTGCCTGTTGCTTGCTGGGATAGGCTAGCGGTTAGCAAATGCTTTTTTAAGGCATATGGCGAAATTAAAGACAGCCCTGACTGAAGACCGGTTGAGGGTGAGGAAAGTGTTAATTTTCCAAATTGCTGCCAGTGACAGGAGGCAGAAATTATGTAGCTGGAGCTCTGGTTTGGGTTAGCCCTTGCCAAATGATTTAACATGATTAACAACACCCCAACTTGTGCCAAGTACACCTCTCTGAGTATTTCACAAAGAAAACACAGAGACTATGCGACACTATTTTTAATTGGCCTCAGTCAACAAGGGCTCAACTTCAGTGGTTTCTAAATATGGGGGAAAGACCAAATAAACTGGGAGATGAAGTGGGAGCAAAGATCAGCCTGTTCATTTTAATTCTTTACATCTCAGACGGTTATTGTACCTTGCAGTTTTTTAGACATGGTTAGAAACAGTCACCCTGGTGTTCACTCAGGCTACCTGTAAAGGGGTCCCCTTGGACAGCATAGTCTTCTGCTGTAGGAGACTTCACCTTCCTCTGGAGAGACTGCTGAGCGAATCCAAAGCACGAGGTATCCCATGATCATCCACAATTGAGAAATGGAGATTTCAATTGTGGATTTTGGAGACCTGTTTCCCCCATGCAAATCGGGGAAACAAATGTTCACTTCCAGCGATCGAGATTTTGAAGCCAACCTATTTTTTTTTTAACTTGCTTGGAAAATGTAGTAGATTCTTTTGGCGGTTTAGTTGTGTCAAATTAAACGCGTTCCTTTGCATCCCTTCAAGCGAGCGAAGGACAGAGAAACAATAGCAGAGGCAGCTGGAGATAGCGAGCACGACAGATTCAATCACAGGCGGCTACAAACGGGAGAGAAGCGGGGACAGAGTGAAGAGAGATGGGGTCTGAGTCACAGGCTTTTATTATTAATGCGTTTCTATATCAATGCTGACAGTGTATTTAATCAGTAGCAGAGGGGGGAAGCCCTCTGGAGGCAAACACACAGCTGTCTATCTCGCCCTCACTCTCTTTTCCTGGGAGGTTTTCCTTCCCTCTACTTCTCTCCATATTTGTTTAAATGCCGATTAAATGTACAGATCATTAAAAATCATGCCTTACACTGCAGATCCTTCCTCTCCCTTGTATGAGGTCGTAGGTACAGTGTTGAATTGTAATTGTGATTTAAATTTTATAGTTGCACGCTATAGGGGATTTTCCCTTAAAAACGAACATTTAATGGGGCTCCTTAATTTTCTATTTTTCCTGTAGCAATTCCTTTGCTTATCCAGCCATTTTCTACTCAATCGCCGTTTAATAAAAAAACAAAGACTCGGTGCTTGTTAATTGGATCAGCACTGCTACAGACACTAAAGCCACAAAAAAGCGGACGGAAAATTAAGAGAGAACATGAAGCCTACGAGGCATCTATGCCAGTGTCGGTGCGGTGTTATATACATTTTTCAGGTCGTGCAATTTCTCTCGTACAGCGGTTAAGATCAGGGACTTTCATTCATCAAGTTTAAACCCTGGGTCTGCAGCTCCTGTAATATGTGCACAGCAGCTAAAAAGCTTTAATTAAATTGCTTTGTTTGTAGTGACTCAGTCCAAAATGAGTTTAGTTCTTGCAGAGAGGAGACATGGGGAAAGGAGATAGAGGCAGAAAAATAGCCCAGCGAGTGTGGCGATACGACAGAAGCCAGCGCTGATAAAAAGAGATCCTATCAGGGGAGAAAAGGAAGGAGAGAGGCAGGAGAGGTAAATTCTCCGATATAAGGCTCGATAACACATCTTCCTGTCTCAATAAAACGGAGATCCTATCTGCTGAGATTGCTTTTCTCCTTTCCGTTGTGACGAGACTCAGCAGGGTTGCGTGTCGCTGCAAGGCTGCCCGGACAGGACACCATGAAGGACTACATTAGCTCCACTTCCAGCCTTTGCCTCTGCCCCAAACACTTGACCCTCAAACAACTTCATTTCACTTTTGCGATTCACACGGAGGTGAACAATCTCAACCTAAACAGACAAAATCATTTAAATGCCACAACCAACATACGGATAAGATCGTAATCTGCTCTGTGCAGGTCCTTGAGCACTATTTAAAACATCCTGGAAATGGAAATATGTCTGTGCCAAATTGCAGCTGTTTGTAAACCCCTGCATACGAAATGTGTCATAACATTGATCTTGTGGCTTCCATAAGCAAAAAAAAGGCACGGGCTGGATACTAGCTGCAATCCTGATCTGCCGAGATCTCTCCGTGGTGCTGGAGCACATTTATGATACACAGTTGACAGCATGCTAATTTAGTATGAGACCCTGCTAAATGTACAAACAGAAATGTGTCTCCTGCAATGAAAAAAATCACTGCAGGTGTATGAAAGGCTTTTCCCTCTTGTCACTCATGCAGTCAAAAGAATTCTTTATACGAACCTACGATTGCCCTTACTTATGACTATTTAAAACAAAACGTCTTCAAACGAAATACCTGTGCAGAAGGCTTCAGAGCACTTGGACACTAATTTGTTTCCTTTCCCCCTAAAAGCAAAGGAAAAAAGAAAACAAAAAAAAAAGCTCTCTTTTGTGTGCAATATTGCAGCTTGTGGCCAACGAGCAAACATAACGAAAGAGAAAACGGATCTCCAGAAGGAGCATACACAGCAGGATGGATGCAATAAGACAACAGGCAATACTAGCTGTCAATCTTGCATTAGTTGCAAGAGAAAAGGAAATTCTGCATAAGTTACACTTACCTCTGGAAGGCGGCCATCTTGCCAAGGAATGTGCTCGATGCATTTCAAAGGCAGGGCTTCACACCTCATCCTCCTACTATGCTTTTCTATTTTAGGCCTTAAGCTTCACTTCAAGGAACAATTTCATGGAAATCAGATCATTATTTAGGGGTCACTGGAGTTGGGCTAGATCCCTACTAATTAAGCTCGCACTACAGGTTAGTTACCTTCATGGTAAGCAAGAAGAGGAGGAGAAAAGTCAATTATTTACTAGTACCTGAAGGGAAACATTTTTTGGAGGGGATTTATTCTAGAGTTCAGCCCAGGCAGAATAAAACAACAACAATGTTTTCGGAAACTCAAAGTGACAAGATTCACCAAACCACCAGTCGGCAAGCGTGAGGAGGCTCTTCACGGGTCTGGTTTTTAATGTATTCCCCATAGGAAGCAGTGCGAGCAAGTTCATTAGGCAGAAGAAAGGGAACTCCTGCTCCAGTAGAGACATTTGAAGACATTAAGCGAAGGTGCAGTGTGTGCAGGGAGCCAGGAGAGGGAGCGTGGCCACCCTGCTGCCTTTGAAAGGAGAGAGAGAAAAAGATCTCGAGGTGCACCTGCTCACGAGAGGACCCCGGCTAGTATCTTATATTCTGAATTTAGACAGAGCAGCTGTTTCAAAAGAAAAAGTAGGAGATCAACCAGAAAAGGTGCAAATGAGAGTTAAAAAAAATGTGTTCTTATTTAACTAAAAATCAAGAGGGAAGAAAAGACTACAAGAGCAGGGATCAGACTGAGCATGCTAAAACATTCAGACTAAATGTGAGGAACAACTCGTTCCCGGTAGATACCAAAATACAAGATTCGAAATCAATGAAAGAAATAAGGTCACCCCATTCTCTCATTGTGCATTTCTCTAATTGATATTACCACCTCTTACTTAACATCTTGCACGGAAATCCAGGTGACAGTGTACTGGGGGGGGGAAACTGCTACATCCAAAAGCACAGGCGTTACAGTGTGGTAAAAGTGTCCCCCAGTTTTCTTCCGAAATCCAGAAAGATTTATAATGGGACAGCTTGTCAAAACCTGTGCCACATGGCCATGATCAGATAAGGGCAAGTTCGCTTGTTTTGCACTGTCACTTAACACCACATACCAAACAGAAATATGGGTGAGTGTAAATACGTCGTTCCCAGGGTCTTATCAGGTCATCTATGCGGTTTAATCATTATTTGCAATCCTGACATTGGTCAAAAGGAGGAAGGGAAGAGACCAGTTGATAAGAACAGAAAGAAAGGACCACAAAGAATCACAAATGTAGACTCCCTTTTAAAAGGAGGAGGCCTGCACTGATACTGCACCTTCATGTTTAAAGAAACTGTAAAGGGAAAATAAAAGAAAGGAAAAAGCACAGACCATTACTTGAAGAATTTATTTAACTTAGAATTTATACTTTTGATTTTGTTACTTTAAACAGGCCCTCCCCGCCTGTGTTTAAAAGTCAAAGCTGTCGGAACAGTGCTGTTCTAGAGCTTACATAGTCTCCATTCTCTCCTCCCTCACACACACATCTCATAGGTCCCCAGTCCAGGAAAACTGCAAAATTGAGTCTGTCCACTTATCTGATTAACACAGTTTCAGAGAATTAATATGTTAGACCTTACATTCGGTACAGAATAGATCAAATCCTAAGAAAAACAAATACTGGGCCTCATTGACCTGAATTGATTTTAACCTGATGCAACTAAACACCACTCTTGGGTTTATCTTCTGTATACATCAACCTAAAATACTGTATTTTAGTAAAATACTGTAAATCACCTTCATGAAGGCAGAGATACAACAAAGATTCCTAGAAGAGTTTATTTCAATGAATGCACAAAGGTCCAGCCCAGTTTATCAATAAAGGTAATTTACCGACCTCCCCTTCCAAGGGCAGGAGTCAGAAAGAGCTGAGAATGGTTATAACAGTAATGAAAGCTTCACGACTCTGAAGATGCCATTCAAAACCACTCTTGGAATCAAAACCTCTTGGAATATATTCATAAGATGCCCATTTTACTAAATTGTGTATTGAACCATCCACTCACGTGGGTGATGCAGTGGGTAACCTCACAGATTTATAGAAGGTATGATTCATTCCAAAAATAAATCCAGCATTAAAAAATCATTACCAATATTTAATAGAGACCAACCTGTAGCACCTGAATACAGACACCCATCGGTGCATCAATTACAAATCAACATTCTTGTATTGAGAGAAATTCGAACCTCGTCTAGTCAGGCTAAAAGAATTGCCAGATTGCTGTGCCTCTCTCCTTCGCTCACTACTCAACCTGCAATGCTTTGTTTCCACTTTTATAATCCTTTAAGGGCTCATCTGCTCATTGCAACAGCTATCAGCCATCAAAGGTTTGCCTATGATTTCAGCAGGTCGCCACTACAAATCTATCCACCTGCAACACTCAGCTGAGCTGCCTTATTTGAAAGAAGGCTGGGAGATGACTAGGACTGAGCCCACTTCAATGTATTAGAAAGACTTTACCCTAGGCGTAAATCTCAACGTCCTTTGACCTTTTAAAGTTGGCAATATGGCATTAGCATACATTTTTATCTAGAGGGCAGCTTGCCCTTTTGCCTCCACTGTTTTGGAATTCATCATGACAACACTTCTCATGTTAGACAACATTTCTTTAAAATGTACATAATTTTGTAGACAATGTTATAAATTGAGATCTTTGGCTAGTGTTGGACGTCCCTCAGCCAGGTGAGTTAACACTAAGGTATTACATATGCTATTCCTTTTACATTTGTCAGCTCATTATTAGACTTTGACAGAACTACTGAAAATACAGAATCACACTGACAGATGCTGGGGATTTTTAAACCATGACCACAGATAAAACATTCTGGAGAGTAGTACTGACTCTGATGCATAGTCTCTAGTCCTAGAGGACCCCTTAAGTGCCTGTTCAAAATTTAACAGCTCCGAAGTTCTTAAGCAAATACTGCGATATATAACACAGGGCAAAATCAAACCAGTTCATTCTGGCTGCGTAAGAATCTTTTACTGATGAGTGTAGGGAAACAGCTTAAAAGCTGCATGCATTAATACAAATACACAAATCATCTTGAAAGTCTCTTATTAGTTTGTGTCATGTGTAGGGTTTCCTAATTTTGATAATGCAGCTACTGCACAGAGAGGTGTTCAGGATGAAAGAATGCTTGTTTTTCCATCATGAAGACGATATTATATCTGTACTACATTTGCAAAGTGGTCCAGTTTCTTTAATGCTCCTCAAAGCTTTGCAGCGAAACTAATTTGCACTATAACCACTTACAGAAACCTTCAAGTTGATACATACTTGATGAACTGTAACTAACAGCTGACTCTGCAAAGAGTGCAGGCGTGCAACACAATTTTTCAAATATTAGGAGTCCTTCATATTTAATACTTCAGTAGAACAAGGATGTAGGAAGAATTTTGCAAAATATGATTTTGGAGAATAACGTGCAACCAAGAGCCACAGTCGAGTGTTTTCCCAAAACATTTTTGCCATCTTCAGGATGCAATCTGGAATGGAAGTGTTCTGCTTCAGGGAAGTTCTTGTGTCCTAGTTAGAACCGAGGGACGCAGATTCTACATAACTGCCACCCTGTCAAGAAGCTCACGGTTGACTGTAAATGAATTTTACAGATCAAAAAATACAAAGCCCACTTCAAAAAAATCAATGACCAAAACATCAGAGAATTGGTATAGACAGCCCATAACATCCCTAACAGTCCCTTAGTACTGTTAAGTTTGCATTCAGAGATACAGTGAACTATTTTTAACTGGTGTTCTACTTAAGCAAACAATATTGAAATGCATACAAGTCAAAATTGATTTCCATCCCAAATCAACCTTTACAGTTCCTCTAGGGTGTGAATATATCTGAAGGCTACTGTAAATGACAAGCTGTGGACTTAACCACTGTTGATTACAGATCCAGCTGGCAAATCAATCTAAAAAGAAAGACCAGAAATCACGAGCCCTACAAATGAAATAAATTAAGAAGTAAAATCTACAAAATAGCCCCTTGGATGATAGAACCTCATGACACTAGAACTGGCAGCAGTCTTGCTCTCCAGCTGCTTCAGACAAATTCACCTTGCAGGGAGCCAAGCACAGCTAACAGGAGCATATGGAATGTGGACCGGAAAGCCTCCAAAAACACGCACAACAGTTTTGGGATAGCAACAGTGGTGACCATTTGAAGCTCCCCAAAACAGCATCTCTTTATTTATTATTTTTTTTAAAGCAGACCCCAAGTGATAACATATCCTGTTACATCTATGCACCAAGCTGATTTTCACAGATAATTGGCGGATCATAAACATTTGTTACACAGATTAATTAGGCCTGCTGTTGAGTGCCATGCTGGGTCATGAACAGGCAGCGAGTTCCTGACACAGCAGAGAAGTGCTGGAGTGAGCTGGGGCAAATCCCTAGCTTCCTGTGGTATTCCAAATTCAGCGTGCAAAATAACAGAAGACAGGATGTACATATTATCCATCAAGTCTAGAATTTCTTTTCACACTCCATTATAATATCCACCTATTTTTTAGGTTGTCTGAAGCCATTTAGTTTGCAAATTGTGGATTCGTTTTAGATCTAGACAAAGTCAGATTGTCCTCCCATCTCTTGTGACTGATCCAGGACCAGGTGTCAGAAACGTGAGCACAGAGGAACACACACCCAAGAGGAAGGGGTGCTTCTCCCAGGAAGAAGAAGGGAGATGGACTGAGTGAGAGAAAGAGGGAGGTATGCTCTTTCAAAGGCGGACGCTTCATGCATTTAAAAAAAAAAAGATCTCCAGGAACAGAGGAAGAAAGTCAAGGACAATCTTCTGGCAGGGACGGGCCTGCTGCTCTAACTGGGGTGTCTGAGCAATCATCTTCAGCTGAGGGCTGGGAGGGCACAGGGAAAGAATCCATGTCCTTCATTACTTGGCAGTGTTGTAGGAGGTGTAGCGCTGGTTCAAGGGGTTGTCCGGGGATTTCGTCCACTCTTTCTTCAGCTGCTGCTTGAGCTGGGACAGGCGCATGTTGGGGTTCTCCTTCTTGAGCCGGGGCAGGTGCAGCTCCTCGAAGGCGGTGTAGGCCGCCTTCATCCTGCGCTCCGGGTGCCGGTCGCTCTCGTCCGCCGTGCTGAGACACAGAAAGATGAAGAAGGGGAGAGAGAGAGGGAGGATGATGATCAGAGAGCAGCAAGGACAGCTGTGTATAAAGCTCATCTGCGTCACACTTGCTCTATTCTGGCCTTTCTTTAACTACATAAAAACACAGAGGATATGAATTAGGTGCCATGGGGTGGAACAGAACTAGGTCTCCCAGGTTTGTGATATTAGCTGGAGATGAGGGCAAAAATTGCAGATTGCAACCAAAAATATTGCAAGTATTGCTGCATTGAAATAATCTAGTTATACCACTATTTTTTTGTTCAATTATCTAATTAGAGAAGAGTTTAGTTCCCTCATGTAGCAAACAGCAATTCAGTTCAGTATTACAAGTAAAAGGTTTATTCCATGCTGAAAAGAGAAGAAAGGAAACAACGTTTCAGCTGTGGAGCCTTCTTCGGGTGTGAGGAAGGCTATTGCACTCATACACGGATGTTGATTTACAGTTACGCATGAGATTGCAGACGTATAGAGTATTCCAGACAAGTGCTTGGCTATTCTGAGACGGCATAGTCTGTATAGCTGCATGATAAAAAGTGATCCTGAAAAGGACTAGAATTTGCTTGAAAAGATCAATAGTTTCTGCCAGATCCAAGATGTTTAAACAAAGAGCTGGGTGAGACTGATCAGAAGCAACAGACTTAGCTTTCCTGGTGGTCTGTGCAGCACACACTGTGCCAAGAGATATTAGATCACCGCCTGCAATCACAGATACCCTTTTAACACCTTTCTCACGATGACATCTACTACTATGCATCACACTTCTGAACCACACAGCAAAAGAAAAGATATGTACATTAATTGCTCAGTAGAACTGGCACACAGTATACTGACACACACACACACCGTTTTTTTCAGCATTCACTGAACAACCACGGTTGTGCTGATCGCACGGACGCAGTCAGCCCACTTAAGATTGCTGGAGGGTGATCATGCTGAGAAACACTCCTAAGAGCTGCAGAAAAAGACACTGCTGCTCTGCAATCGGTTCAATGTACTGGTACCAGAGATGTGCATTTTGAATCATATTAATAAATATTAAAATGCTCTTTGGCACCATGATCTAAAACACATTTTATGTTTATATTTGTATACACATGAACACAGTCCTATTCCATTCAAGTCAATTTTCTTTCTACACAAAGGGTTGCAGGAGTCGGGAACAAGATGAATAGTCACCTCAGAACTGCAATGGCATCCTCAATAGTTCTGGCCTCCACAGAGCCCTCTTCTGGGACAATGCGATTCACGTTCTCCTCCAGCGGGGTGTCAAGGTGACTCTTGGGCTTCTCTGGAAGACGAGCAGAATCAGATTAAAGATACCAGCTCCTGAAGCCACATCTCCACGTTCCACGAGCTGTGCTCCACTGTGCCTGAATAGGAGCCCATCCTCGGGCCCGAGCAATCCATAAACCTGAGGAACAGGCACCCACACTTGGGCCGATTACTGCCCACACAGAAAATCATAGCAGGCAAGGAATTTTCTTTTACAATTCCTTAAAACAGATGGATAGATAACAGAACAACGTGATCAGCCTTCAATAAACACCAATTCACTTGAAAGCATTAATTATCAGCAAGGCAGTTAGGTTTGCTACACAGGCATGATGCTTTGGAGGGTGGAGGTTTGGGACAGACGTGTGGCAAACGGAGGCACTTAGCCAGGAGAGCCTCTCCCCTCACACCTTTCTCCTTGGAGGCCTGCTGCGGCTCTTTCTGGAGGTTCTCCTCGATCTGAGCTCGAGTGACTTTGCCTCCCACAGGCTCGGCCTTCGTCTGGCGCCCCCTCAGCCTGGAGTCCTCTTCCTCCAGGAGCCGCTGGTTCTCCTTTTTCCGCTCCAGGGCCTCCAGCCTCTTCCTCTCCTTCTCATCCTGCAGAGGGGGAGAGCGAGAGGCCGAGGTGACAGTGGGGACTGCAGCTCACTGGGGGTGGGGTAAAGGTTAGGGAGCGGAGAGACAGACAGGGCAGATAAAAGGACTAGCAGACTTAGAAAGCGAACGTCAGACAAAGAGGGACCAGCTAACAGGAAGCAGAGAGAGAGAGAAGCCTTGCTCGCAAAAAGAGGATACCCCACAGTCAAAGCCCTCTGTCAATTCCTTTAAGGTCAAGAGTGCAGCAGGTGGAACCTTTTTCTCATAGGAAGGCTGGCTCACAGCATGGAGTGCAGTCAGAAATAGCATAAGGTCAGGGATCAAACGTATAAGCTGCCAGTATTAGCTTCAAGGAGGTCACGTCGCCAATCTGGATGTACAGGAAAATTGTGACGGACAGCAAAGATGTCCAGCAGCAAGGTAACATGCAGGAACAGGAGCAGGAGAGGCCAGCCTGAAAGGCTCAGGCATGCAGAAAGGGGTGAACATGCAAGAGCCAAACCAAAGGAGAGGGCTACTGAATCAGTGCTGCCAACACCTCTTTCTCGTGTGCCATGCTGCCACAGCTAATGAATCATGAGGTGAAAAAACCTTCAGCTAATTGAGTGGCCTCCCAATTCACTGAAGTGCCCTCATTAGTAGCACAAACAGGGAAGGAGGTCCTGAATCCAGCAGTGTGCAAATTAAGCTAATTGATCGGCACTGTAATTTTCATGCTTTGCATTTAACAAACAGAAAACAAACTGAAGTGTAAAATAATTACTTATGCAGTTCTTAGCTTGGCTTTAAAATGTTTCAATTTAACCTTTGATAGGGCAAAAATGAAACGGAATGCAAATGATCCCTTAAATTTAACTCAAAGAAGCTACAGTAACAGTTAAGTCAAATTATATCTGTGTATACAGTATATAAAACTGCTGTTCTTGGTGTCAGGCTGGATGACTGCCTCATCCTCAGCATTCCTTCTAAGTCTAGATAGGCTCCTGGGGAAAGCCTGTGGAATTAATGCAGAAGAAAATGCATTAAGAGATAGGCTGAATCCAAACCCTTGCTCTGTAGCCTCTCATCTCCTGCTGGGTAATCTATCTCCATTCTAGGCATAGGCTTGGTAGTGGAATCTGCATTGTCTATTGATGAGCAGCACAGGATTGGGTGACAGTGCACTGCGTAACCAAAATCCCAGCACAGGGTGCGATTTAACATTTTAGAATGGTCACTTAATGAAAAGGTCTGGCAAAACCCCACTACACTGTTGCCGCTCACTGTAGGGCATCAGGTCTTCAATAATTCAGGGGTAACAGCAAGAGCTTCAGGAAGTCAGTGGAAACCTAATAAGCAGAGCTCAGGGTCAGACATTAAATAGGCAGCAGAGGTGTGGCACTGAGAAAAACAATGACTATTGCAGGTGTTCACCCTTAAAGACAACAATGAGGTCCCCATTGGCTTCTTTTCCACAGACGTGGTCCATCTGCTACACAATCCAACCATTAGCTGGTTTAGCAGGTAAGCCTCTTTTGTGAATACTTTCGCGAGTATTCACACCATGCTTCAAGTTGAATCTGTCTACACAGGGCCATTAGGCAAAACGGCCACCCTGTCAGCTGTTTGAAACCTGAAATGTGTCTGTCAATACACAGGAACAAGAGGGAATACACTAAAGAGGCAGGAAACCCAATGAGAGAGCAAACCAAGAACGTATGAACCACTTCCTTAACACGAGTTTGGGTGTCAAAGTGTCACTCACACTGAATATTTTCTCCTGGCTGGAACAGCTATTGTGGCCTGTAGTCTAGAGATGCCTGTGGCGGGTCATGCAGTCTGGGAGTGAGGCCCTTCCCTGGCATGGTGCCCACTGCTGCAGCCCAGGGCGGAGACAGGCCCACCAGCGGCTGGATCAGCTTCAACAGCACATATTGTGCAGAAGGTACAGAAGCGGGTCTTCTACAATGGCATCACAGAGAATCAATACCATCAACCTCCTGAAAATGACAATGCCAGCACCTCACATACAGTACAAACATACTGTATAGCCCCTGCCACCAACATCATTATACATAATATCTAAAGGGTTATTTAAAGGTAATGTAAGGTGTATAGCATCACAGATTTGCACATATCAATTATTCATTACAGGATAACGGTACATTGAAGTCAGTGAAATGCTATACCTGTCAACAGTGCCAGATGTATCCAGGGACTAAGGTACTACAAGAAAACTATGAGAAATACTGGTCTCATTTTTTCCCCACACTAAAGTTTATGCTGTATAGATTATCCCTAGATAAAAACTTATTTACAGTATGCAACCATTGTGAGTGTAAAACCTTGCTCCCTTTTCTTGGAAATTTCTTGATACCGATAAGGGTGCATTGAATGTGTTCTTGCATAGCAGTCAATTTTCATATAGGTGGCATCTCCCACATAGAAATTGGGACATTAACAACCATCTTTCAGTCTTTCAAAGCATGACATCTCATATACAAATCCAAAAACAGACTAGGACAAGGTTGACACAGAATAAAATGAACATAAGCTATAACTGTTCCAAAAGGCTACTAAGTCGTTTTGAAATTACAGGAGAATACTGGAGTCTGATATTATAAAGTCTGATACTGCAAGAACAGGGTAATAGATCAGAGCAATACATGACCTAGGTCAGAAGCCAAGTGAGATTTGGAACAAGTTAATTAGCACCAAATTAAAGATATAACTGGGTCACTGAAATCTTTCAGAGATCAACTGGAACAAATCCCTGGGGCTCTTTGGGGCCTGAGGCTGCAGATATTCATCTAACATATCTTACATACTACCAACGGTCCACATATCATGTACATTGAAGTACAGGAACTACATGGGCTCTCCAGGAGAAAAACAAAGTTGTGAAAAATACTGTGACACCTCCTAAGGCAACTCAGATGTGGAAAGTGGCTCCAACCATCTAACCTGGGATTTATACGAGTAGATCTTACCGGGTCCCTCCACATGTGTGGACCAAACGTCCACCTCACTGCGGTCATCCACACACGAGCGAAGAGGAGTGAAGGCAGGACAGTTAGTGTTCCGCAGAGGCATCTCCTCATAACATTCACTTTTCCTTCAGCAAGTCAGAAAGGTTTGAGAAGTAACTCCAGTCTTGAGGAATAAAATGGACCCTTACTGTCTTTCTCCGAGGTGGGATCTGGGATCTCTAGCCAGGTAATTGACTGCCACTTCTCAGAGTCATGCAGCACCATCTCTTGGACAGTAGCGATGTTCCCTGCACCAAGGCAGGACTCCACCCCGCTCAGTGGGGTGTCGAAGGGGAATTAAGGTAAGTGCCTCATATTTCTAGGACACTAACTGCATTAATCAAAGCAGGTGGGTCATAGAACTGACCGAAAATAAAACCTTGAATAGCCAGCTCTCCTTCTGATCTGCGGAGAAACAGAACAAGGTCTGGCAAAATGCCAAAGCTCTCACCTCTGACTGGCCTACCCAGCGATCAGGTTACACTTAGAAGATAAAACACCTTGTGCACAAAAGGGGGGGGGGGGAATCTACTCATTAACAGCTCTAGTCAAAAGAACAGGAATGAGGACTAGGTTATTAATGGCAGATTTTATTTATTTTAGATCCATCAGGGACCATTCCAGGACCGTGACTATCAATCGCAAGGTGGAATATGACCTAAGCTCCCTTTGCCACCCTCTGGATGTCATGAGAAAGATGACTGACTATGCGCTGTTGGCTGCAGTTACTTGTGTATACATCAACAACAAGAACCACAAAGGAGCTGGCACATGCATATACAGGAGAAAGGAACTGATTTATGAAAGCCCACAGTGGATTAATGTGCTTCAGTATCCTACAGATGCCCTTTATTGGTTTAATGTGAGAAGTGAGAAATCAGAAACAATGCTGTGGCCAAGAATGAGGCTATGGGGCTTAGGGTAGGAGAATGCAGCAAAGACAGGGGCTCTGCACTAGAATGTCAAACCTACTACTGCCACCTAGTGGTCAATAGCTGTCATTACCACTTACAACTAAAACGACAATCCACTCGCACTCAAAGAACTAGAGCAGTCTTTTGTTTTCCGTTACTTCCCAGCTCGCAGCTTTCTCCATGATTTCTTAAGAGATTTCTTTTTGTATTATTATTAAAAAGAAAACATCACACTGGCTTACTTATTTTGCTAAAAAGGCTTCAGAATATACCTTATTATACAAGGCTAAAAGGATATTTTGGGAATTATGTCAGGATCAACAAAGGCTTCAGCACAAATACGGTTCACCTATAAGCATCCAAGCTTTAAAATGCAAGCGTTCACATTGTCTGCTCACAGCAGAATAAACCCAAGCTATTCTCTCCAATACGATTAGCCAGCATAGGAAAGAATATTCTTTCAAGATTCACGCAAGCAATCATACAAAATTAATACTGACAATTAAAAAAAAAGAAATCTTACATAATTGACATGTTTCAGTTTCACTTCTATTGTATGTCCTGCTGAGTAAAGAAATTTACATTTAAAACAAAGCAAAACACGCTGGTCAAAGAAGTTTTACTTTAGGCACGTATCTTAAGTGGGAAAATGACTAAGGCAGAGCATTGATTGGCATCCCCATCAAAGGGCACAGAGCAGCACCTCATTTAAATGCAAATCGACAAACGCCAAGTCAAACGCAGCAGGCTGCATTTCATGTGCATGAACAGCCAATTACAAAAATCCATAACTCAGAATGTCAGCATAATATTTCCCACTGCAAACCCGCTCTGTTTTAACAACTGAGAGAGGAACAGAACACAACTCCATCTGTTCATACGGGACTTTCACAGGCATGGGCTAAGGTCAAACAGCTCACCAGGACACAACCAAATGAAATACTGCTCTCCACTCGGGGAATTTGAGTGTTGGGATTTTAACGCGTCATATTCAATTCAACAATAGATCAAAACAGTTCCACGCTAAACTGGTGAAGTATTTCAAAAGCAACCTCAACAGTTTCACACCAATCATTATGATGGTCCTAAAGTTAGGAACAGATAAGACATCAACACAGCCAAAAAAAAGCCCTATATTAAAACCTATGGAGTTTCAGTCCACTGCATTGACCCTCATATGAAAAGAGCCAGATTCTAAAGATTCTGGAACAACCACATCACTCCTGTCCTGGAGTCCTTACACTGGCTTCCCTTCCAGTTTTAAGATCCCTCTGCTTACACTCAGGGTCTTCATCGGGAGTGTCAAACGTAACCCCTGGAGGACCAAGTGTCTTAGGTTTTTTCCCCCACCTAAGTTCTCAGTTAATGGTGAGTCTATTTATCAAATTTATCTAATTATTTATAATAGTAATACTTCTTAACTGGCTCTGCATTATTGTATAAGCAACCATTCCTTTAATAATGTGAATGTTTTGAGCAAATCAACAGCATAAGGCTTGAAAATTCATCATGCATATGTCTATGCAACATTCACAAATCTAAATGCTGGAAACATAAATTGTAGCAGTCTGTTGCCTCTGATGTCATCATGCTGGATTCTACCACTAATACCATGCAACAAAATGGCAAGAGACACTCAATACAAACTGCCATTATTGTGAGCAAATAACATATTTTGAGGTACATTAAAAGTGAGGATCAAAAAAGAAAAAGAGGCAAAAGCTATTCCTACAGTGCATCATTCTATTTAGCAACTCATAATTATTGATAGCTTAGGGAAACAAATAAATAGATGATGTAGGTGAACCAGAGATTTCTCTTAAAAGTACTTCTCCCATCAATTAATTTTGCTATAACTCAGTCCCAATTAGAAAACATTGGACTGCTAACTCTCATAAAACTATCAGCAGTGCTTGGCTATCCTCAGTCCAGTCAACTATAGATTTCACATTGATCATTTTCAAGCATTTAGTCAACAGAGCTAACGAAACCGGGCAACGCATCAGCCAAGAGTGCCAAGAACTTGTCACCTGGAAAAGGACTGCTGTCTGTTCTGAAAGATCACATTGATTTGCAGTTGCTACAGAACTTATACTATGTTGCCTTAGGTATTATATGAGGCAATCTGTGTAGAAGTCCGTTTGCAATGTCTTTTTCATGTGCATGAAAAGTGCTTTGAGATTATTTTCTTGAGTTATAATCATCACCCTCAAGGTGTAAAAGGAACTTAAAATAAGTACCAACACTGAAGATTAAGAACTTGGTTGGGAAACAGTGCTCTAGGCTACATCAGAGTTTGCAGACTGTGCCTGTACAGTGGACAGCATCATACAGTCAGCTGAGCATCAGTGTTCAGACACTTTACTGTTCTGGAATAATAGTACATACATAATAGACTGGTTGCCCTATGAATGCTACCTCAGGAGCATGCTTCCGAGAATGACTGTCCTGCTGAAAAGTTAATTATAAATATGACTGCTATTATTACTACTGACAATAAGAATGGGGGTTACTATTCCTTACACCTGCCAGAACTTTCCCCCATTCTTGACCAAGGCTGGGAAGGAAGGGGGGTGGAATTGCAGTCCTGGTGAGCCACAGTCTAGCAGATTTCATAGGTCTCGCGGAGGGCCAGTAGAACCAGGTAGACTGTTCCACTTGGGCCCAACAGTAGTTCATGTGGCTGGTTAAGAGCGGAGCAGGAATGGAAGCCTGTAAAAGCAACAGCCCTCCAGGACTGCAGCTGGGCACCCCGATGCAAGCATGCACGGTTCTCCCCCCCCTCCCCCGACTCCCTGCCTCCCTCACCTTCCTCTGCTCTTTCTTCAGGACATGCTTGTCGTCGTCCTTCCACAGGGCTTCCTCCAGCTCCTGCTTCTTGCGAGCATCTGCCACCGCCTTGGCCTCCGCCTTGCGCGCCCGCGCCACCGCCGACTTGGAGTTCTCTCCCTGGAACTTCTTCGGCATTCCTCCGCTGGGTTCCCTTTGGGGGGGGAGAATCTGTTAATGGCACAAGCGAGGACCCCAATCAGATACCCATGATCCACTCCCCCTCCCCCAACTTCTAAAGCAGTCTCTTACAGCCTCCACTTTTTACCCCCCACTGATGCACTTCCAGTGAAATTCTCACAGGTGTGGTGGAAACAGGAATTGGAATTATCCACCTTCATACAATCTACTTAAAAACAACAACCAGGGAATTCCCAAGAAATGGAGGTTATTAACTTAAAGTTGGGGAGGGATAATGATGACAAGTCAGTCTCACACAGCTGTACCTAGTCACTGTCAAGACGAAACTAGCTACTCTGCATACTGTACGAGCTCAAACGCATCCCTCCTCCACCAATCTCCACCTTGCGGCTGCCCCTTGGTTCACTCGGTCTGAATGGGGTTCGAGTCTCCTCGTCCTGTGGCCAGGAGGCTGCCCATTAACCAAGCGGGTTAAGCCAAACCTATTGCACCGAGTATCCACAAAGCACCCAGTTCTTGGATGTTGTTGTCCCCAGTGAACACCAGAGCTGAAATACAGTGTTACACCTGGAAAAAATGAAGTAACCAAAACACAAATAGAAGCGATGAAGACAATTATATTCTAGTCGCATTGATATTGCAATTATATTCTATTTTACCGAAAGAAGCTGTAGATTGACGTGCCGTTGGCAGCTCAACAACGCACTCGGAGAAAAATTGTAGTTCCGAACTACTTACGATTTGTGAAGTCTCAAAAAAACTAACTTAATAATAAGCCGAAGAAGGGAATTATCGAACTTCTATTTATACAATTAAAGGAAACTACAAAAGTTTCCATACAGAACAAATGCAGCTTGCAGGTTTTATTCTACGTTAAGTAAAAACTAACATCAACCTGATATTATTACTTCGAAACAAATCTTTATGGGGAAATTGTCAGGGAAATTCCAAACTCTGTCATTTCGGTATGACGCGATCAAACTGAAGTCTTTTGTATTTTTTCTAAGTTGTTTGTTTTTCAGTCTAACAATTCTACGCTCTTCTGTTATGTTGAATTTGTTTACAACGGCGAACTTCTATACTCGAATCGAGAACAATCAGAATACAAAGCCTTTTGATATTGTGAAACCTTTCTAGGCAGGAACAAGCTTGCTGTCTCTGTTCCGTACGGATACGGAAATACAAATATAAAGCATTAGCATTTTCCGTTAACAATGTAGCAAAATGTTTCTAAAATTAAGAAAGACTGGATGTTTTATTTTTATTTCATGCAGTCATCTTCATGACCAATAGATCCTCGTAGCCGTACACCACCAAAGTAATGTTTATAATTCACTCAGCTAAACGTTATTTATAGTCAAACAAAATCCTACGCGTACTAATGCATCAGCAGAATTAACCATGTAAGGAAGGCAACCTTCCTTATTACACCCCAGAAAGATACAGTTTTGATAATGCAGTTAATTCCTACCTTTCAAAGCAACTCAGGAACTCCGTAATAGCATCAGGCAGCTGTCTATTCAGTTGCCCAAGTCCATAAACTAATTTTCCCAGAACATACACGAAAATAAATACGGACGTTTAATCAAAGGCAGTGGGATTTCGTCTCATTATTGTAAAACACCTCAGAATTAGCTGTACTCCCTATTTTACCATTTGAAAAGTACAAAAAGAATCGTATTTGTTGTTTTTGCAGGGGTCCTTTTTCTTCATGTCGCTTCTTTGTTACGTCACAACTATCCTCATTGGACGCCCATTTGAAGTCCTTTGCACTGCGTCTCTTAATAAAAGGACACAAATGTGAATAATTTAATAAATGACAGATAATTAATTAGTACTTCCTGATTAATAAAACACGTGATTCCTTAACACTTTGTATCATCCCTGTACCTCAATACATAATGTGATATTTGTATTGTTTAGATAATCTGTAAAATACAATGATTTTCAATCAGTAAATGTTTTCTGTGTGATGACTTAAAACTATATTAATTTCTTACTTGAAACATTTTAAATTTTTAAGAGTTTAGGTGTGAGCCTAGTTTGTGAATTTAAATATAAGGGCATTTGTCACGAAACATATTCCACCAAGTCAACTAGTCAATAAATGCATCTAAAAATAAACAGCTAAATGTATCACGATAAGGAGTAGCCTATAATCGCTGAGTTCTTGGGCCTTTTTAAAGCTAAATTAAGCAGTTTGCCCCCAACAAACATGGCAGCTACCTTACAACGTCAACAGCGGCTGCATTTCACAGGGAAATTCCCCTACGACGTCACAGATGCAGGTATCATGGAGTCGGCTTGCAAAGAAGTTGGAGAAGTTATGCAAGCTGGAAGCGGAGCAAATCATTCCAGTAATAACACCGGTAACCCCAGCAGTAAACGACATAAAGAGCTGGAGAATGCCGCATTGCAAACTAGCCTGAATTCCCTGCGTATGGAGGAGCAAGCGGCCTCGGCTGTCGGCGATAAGGGCGATGAGGAGACGAGCCCAGGAAGCTTTTCCTCTCCCGACCCCGGTGCACCAAGAACAAACGGCTCCCAGCCGCTGGTGCACCAGGGCGAGGGCATGAGTGAGGGAAAGGTCCAGGAAGAGGAAAGGACCCTCACCGATCACCTCAACAAGCGCCTTCTCTCCTCGTTTCTGGAGAAACTGAATCAAAGGGACCTGGCTCTCCCTGGGATACAGCGCCTGGACTGCGCTGTGGCCGGGGAAGAGGATTCCAACCGAACCGTGGAGGAATGGTGAGAGTGCGGATAATAGCTCGGAACCGGAGGGCAGGAACATCCAGCGGACGCCGCAACAAATAACACCGGCCGAATGTCACTGATTAAATACGAGTTATCGCATGTTTAAACATTCGTCCTCCATCTTGCCTTTCTTATACTACTGTCATTTTACTTCCTGCACGAGAAACGGAACCTGACGCAGATTGATAAATACCGTACGTCTTTTTTTTTTTGAATCGCTGTACGAGGCAGCGAATGACGCCGAGATATGTTCTTGGCAAGACCTCTGGACTTCGAGATGCTAAAGGCTGCGCTGTGCTTCCTTCTTTTACGTCAAAGCCATCGTTCTCGTTTACTGCTGTGCTGGGAGTAGGCATGGAATCTACGTATTAACATATTTCGAGTTTGTCTGGCATCCCGGGTAGGAACTATATACTGTATGCAGAGAGAGAACGAATTTCTAAATAAATTCCCACTAATTTA